GCACAAATGTTTCTCTGCTCACCAGAAAACATTTCCAGTGACAACATAAGACATGTCAGCAGCACAATAATAGCAACTAGTGAAATGATAATTTCCATTCACAGATTGGAAGACGTCGTTGCAGTTTGGGGAGGTGATTTGTTGAAACAGACTTTTGATTCATGATGTTAATAAAAAMTASTTGTGGATTGCTAGTTCTGCTGCTTCTTGGTCATTTTCTTATGTTTATGATAGAGCTTCGGTAAGAAAACATGCAGATATATTAGTAATTTTCAACTGTTTATTTTAAAACTGAAGCGATGCATTCTGGGTAGGCATCAGGACGAACAGGAACCTGTTCTTTTCAAAATAAGAGCGTGAATTTAAACAGTTTCGTGTGAGCTTCAATACCACGTGAGACAGTGGGTTGGTGAAGATGTGGTTCATAAATTATAATTCCTCCCTCTATCCACCCAAAGCTCATATAAGTATACAAACAACAATATTAATGGCCGGATCATGTTTGTCACTCAGCTCCAACTGCTTCCTGTCACGCAAAGAATTGTGGGAACTCTCTACTAAATGAAAATCATCACGAAGAAGGAGAGTCAGAGTATAAAGCTCTGTGTGAGCACATCCCTGCCTGAGGGGGCGCTGTTTCCACACAGTGGAGCTCCATTGTGTTATCTAGAGATGGCTTTCCTCTCCAGTGTTCGAGAAAAAGATGATGAAACTTTAATGATCTATAATGCTACAGAACATAGGCTGGGTCCAAAACGACAGGCCGGGTCCTCCGAAGGACCCAGACTATCCGGTCGCGGSGGGCCGGGTCCTTGGTAGACCGGGAAGACCGGAAAAAAAGAGGCTGTGAATTTGGACGGTCTAGCCTCCCCTCCTTACCCCGGCGTACGTCATGTCACCTAGCAACTGTGACGACGCTAAACAAGCAAACTTAAATCAAAACTAGAAAAATATCAATACATTAGCATTATTAATATCACAAAACTATAAAATTAATTTAAAGGTATCATTTGACCCGCTGTAGGTTCATGTTTATTTCGCGTTTTTTATGACGAAAAAATAATATGTAAAAACATGTCCATACAAATGATAAAAGTATTAGAATTACAACCGCTAATTTTTAAAAAATTTTTATTTCACCACATTTTTATTTAAAATATGTTCTTTTCTCTCGCTTCGTCCGCCATTACTAGCTTAAAAAAATCTCCGGTCGGGCCGCAAAGCATTATGGGATACGCTGGGCCGGGAAGGATCCATCGGACCTGTCCTTCGATTCGGGGAAAAAGAAGGACGTATTTGTCGGCCACATCGGAGGAGTCTTCGGTTTTGGACGTCCTTCGTTGCGGCGCTGTGACGTATGCGGCCGACAAATTCGACCTTCGGAGGACCCAGCCTGGCGTTTTGGACACAGCCATTGTGGGTTTAGACGGCTCTTTCCTTTTTCTTTAGACAATATTGACGATTTGGTTTGTAACATTATTTTGCGATTAGCTCTACTCAATTCTAAATTTAGAAAGCGCAAATCTGCACATCATTTGAAGAAATTAGTAAAACCGCTAAAGCACAAAAGAGAAACTTAGGTCCGCAATTAGCGCATTTGCGTTTTAGGGGACTAGTGCCCACCACTACTAATTAAGCTAACTAACTTCAAACAGGACAGGTGGGACTGATAAACCTGTTTTTAGCTAGTTAGCTATTAGTGGACTTAAATTTGGTAAATTCTAATTTAATGGAAGCTAACTGGTCCGCTAACAGTTTTCAATGTTGACAAAAAAGCTAATCTGGGAAACGAAAAGTTAGCTTCACTATTAGCCATTAGCTGATTAGCAGAACCACGTCCACTACTGAATATTAGAGCCTGTTTTTGCAATTAGACGATCCTTAAATCTGGTTTATTTCTTTAAAATTATTTTAAATTAAATAATTTAAACTTAAAAACACCTGAAACATAAAAACATGAGGATTCAGAGAAACWGATTCTGGTGCCTGAATACAAACTGTGACTTTCCTGTTTCAAGTAAATCACTGCAGAGTTTTCAGACTGGGTCCCTGCAGACCCGTCTAGACTTGTGGAAACCTGCTGGTTCATTAGAACCGTTCCAGACCCGAGAGAGGGATCAACAGGTCTGGACTCTGAGGACTCAGAGCCTGCTGAAGTAAAATCTGCCATCTGTTCAGAGGAAAGAAGCCCGTTTGGGTTTAGCCAGTCTGTGATGCGCCCTCTGTCAGAACTCAGCCTGATTAATTATTTTAATACTTTAAACGTCTTCATGTAAAACATCCTTCGGCTGTTTCGGGTCGGCCCGGGCCCAGTGGTCGGGTTAATCAGCTACAGAACCGTCTCCTGGGAGCTCGCTTCAAATCAGACGCTGCTTCTTTTGTTGGCAGGAGACACTTTCACGAAGAACTCGTTCAGTCCCACCGGGTCGGACCAGAACCGTAGAATTATAAACCAGAGCGGTCCAATCAGCCGAACAAAGGACCAATCAGCAGGAACAGAAACCAAACAAAAGGCTCCCTCCGTGACCCGCAGCAGTGCATGCTGGGAGTCCACACGCCGTCCCCCAGAGGACGAGTTGATGTGTGACGAGAAATAAAAACCCACACTGACAGCCGAAGGACCGGGCTGAGATGAGCCGAAGAAGCCAGAACAGAAAGAACATGAAAGAACATGAGCTAAAATCCAAACACTAAACAACAAATCTGAAAAACTAGAAGCTAAACAAGGGGAACAGTTACCTAAAAGTAGCTAAAACAGAGCTAAAGGCTACAGGTAGTAAACGATGTGAGGGAAAAATAGCTAAATGTCAAAATAATAAAATGCTAAAAGTAGCTTAAGAGTAGCTGAAAACAGCAAAATGCTATTTAAAAGCTATGAATGGCTAAATAAAAGGTGTAATTAGCAAAAGGTTAAAACAAGCTAACAGTATCAACAGTAGCTACAAGTAATAAGAAAAATAATTCAAAAAAGATACGTAAAAGTAGTTGTTAGCCAAAATGTCAAATGTAGCAAAGGCTAAAAGTAGCTAAGGAGTAGCTAAAAACAGCAAATGTTAGTTAAAAGCTAAATATAGTAAAAGGCTAGCTAAAAGCTAAAAAGGGAAAATAGATAAAATAGCTGAAATATAGCTGAATGCTAAAAGGAATAAAGGGCTGAAGGTAAAGCAAAGAAGATAAGTAAAAGCAGCTAAATATTAGCTAAAAGTAGCTAAAGAGAAGCTAAAAGCAGCAAAACGCTAATTAAAAGCTAATGTAAAGAATGGCTAAATATAGTATTAACAAAATGTTAAATCTAGCTAACACTATTAACAGTAGCTACAATAAGAAAAAAGTATCAAAAAATGTAAGAAGCAGTGTTAGCTAAAATGTCAAATGTAGCAAAGGCTAAAAGTAGCTAAAGCGYAACTAAAAGCAGCAAATGTTAATTAAAAACTAAATGTCGTAAAAGGCTAGCTAAAAGCTAAAAAGTGAAAATAATGTTAGAAAAAATAGATGAAATGTAGCTAAAAGCTAAAATTAATGAAGGGCTAAAGAGAGAGCAAAGAAGATAAGTAAAAGCAAAATATTAGCTAAAAGGCTAAAGTAGCTAAAGAGTAGCGAGAAGCAGCAAAACTCCAGTTAAAAGTGAAAGTAATGAAAAGCTAACTAAAAGCTAAAAATAGTAACAGGTATAAATTAGCTAAAAGTATCAAAACAGTAGCTAATAGCTAAAATTAATTAAATGCTAAAGGCCAAAACAAGCTAAAGGCTAAATGATCAACATCCTAGCTAAAAGTAAATAATTTCCACAGTCAAACTGTACGGTTCCATCAGAAGCCGAGCTAAAGGCTGCTCCTGCAGCGGTGCACGCTGGGAGGCCGTGTGCGGACCCCCGGGGGACATGTTAGCATGTAACAAGGATAGCCATCTCCACACGGCCGGCTGTTTCCCGCCTGCAGGAGCCGAGCCCGTCTGTGAGATGAGTAATGAATCCTGCGTCTCTGGAGCTTTGTCTGCTCAGATTACAGCCTTCAGCCGTGAAGCTCTTTATGCAGCCAGACAAGTCTTCGGCTCCTCTTCGGCTCCTCTCTCAATAATCAGTGTCCTGAATATCTGCTGGAGCAGAGCGCTCCTCCTGCTTCTTATGTGACACAAATGTCAAATGGTGGCGGCGTCCACGCTCTGTGAGCCAGGCTGCTGTAGCTCATCTTTAAGCATTTTATTTTATTTTTACCWCGTGTTTATCTCAACCTGTACCTCCAGCCTCACTCAGGTCAGTAATGTGACTCGAGCTTTCATCAGAGCCAGCTGAATGATTTGTTTACATTGGGTGAGGACCTGCGTTGAACAATCACACATCAGTATGTCAGCACTGGAGTGAACTCCTTCAAATGGCACCGTTTGCTCCACTTCAGAATGACCTCGCTGTTTTGTTTTATAACAAATAACTTCCTTTAATTTAGCTCAGTCAGTGTGCTGATTGTTTTTACTTAAACTGATCGAATCAGAAGTTTCTTCTTAAACATTTCACTAAATTTAACCTTATTTGAGTTTAATGCCTCCAGTGATCAGGCTGCAGAAAGGTGTAGCTGTTTGACGCTTTGTGTCAGAGGATTTATTCATTTGAAGTTTGAATTAGTTAATTTTCTTATTTTTATTAGAATTAGTTATTTTATTTATTTAAATTTGAATTATTTAAGTCACTGAAAAGGTTTGAGGAGAATCGTGGGAGTAAATGTGACGGGGCTTCAGGACGTAAACAAACAAACAAACAAGTGAAAAAGTAAACAGTTGCTTGAATAAACAGCTTGTGATCTGTCGGCCCGACAGCTTTATTTATTATTATTATTTATGAGCACGTCTCTCACCGTAAAGCAACTGATTAAATCAGGTCAGACTGAAATAAATACAAGCTTTAAACTCATCTGTAAATAATAAACAGGAGAGGAAATAAAACAAAAACAACAGTCAGACTATCTGAGGTGGTGAAAGTTTTCTCTTTACGTCGTCCTGTCTTGTAGGACGTTGGACACATCGGAGCGGACAGGAACTGGAAGGGGATCGGCATCTCTCTGCTGGTCATCGTGGTGGTCCTGTCTTTTATCGGACTTTCCATCGTTCTGCTGTCAAGAGGTGAGCCTGCAGAGACCAGAAACATCACCTGAAAAGTTTCAATCAGGAGCAACGAGAACGACTCAGAGCTCACTGAATGTGGAGCATTTTGATATTTTTACAGCTTTGAAAATCTAAATGAAGCTTTTATAGCTGTGGCTTTGACAATTTTAGCTTTTAACTTCAGTCTTGACAGTTTTAGCCAATCAGTCAATCAATCAAAACCTTTTTGTATAGCACTTTTCACAGCCAATGGCAACCAAAGTGCTGCACAACAGAGTAGAAGTACAATCAGATAAAATCAAGTAAACACTTCGCTAAGTAGAGAAGAATGGAAAAACATAAAAAATAAAATAAAAAATAAAACACTGACCTACTGCATGTGCTCTAAAATTAAAAACCAAAGCAAAAAGATAAGTCTTTAAAAGACATTTAAAGATGGACATTATGTTGTTTGCTAATTTAAGCAGTTATCTGTTCTGCAAGCAATTTCTTTTACTGTTATGCTGATTTTAGCTTTTAGCTGCAGTTTTGCTAATTTTAGCTTTTTGCAACATTTTACGAATTTACGTTTTTAGGTATATTATTGTTTTGTTTAGTGATGCTTTGCTAATTTAGGGTTAAGATGCAGTCTTGCTAACTTTTATTTTAGTGACATTTGATGAATTTACGATTAAGTTTTTAGCTTTAAGTGATGTTTTACTAATTTAAGGTTTTAGATTCTGTCTTGCTAACTTTAGCTTTTAGTGTTGTTTTGCTAATTTTATCAATCTGATTCTGCTTGAGTGATTCTTTTTTTAATCTTCCACACATGTTAGCTTTTAGCTACAGTCTTGCTAAATTTAGCTTTTAATAGATGTTTTGCTAATTGTAGCTACTATCTACTGTTATATTTTACTACTGCTCTGCTCATTTTAGGTTTTAGTAACTGTTTTGTTTATTTTAGCTACTGTTTTGTTGATTTTAGTAACTGTTTTGTTTATTTTAGCTACTGTTTTGTTGATTTTAGTTACTGTTTTGTTGATTTTAGCTACAGTTTTGTTGATTTTAGCTACTGTTTTGTTGATTTTAGCTACTGTTTTGTTGATTTTAGCTACTGTTTTGTTGATTTTAGTTATTGTTTTGTTGATTTCAGCTACTGTATTGTTGATTTTAGTTATTGTTTTGTTGATTTTAGTTACTGTTTTGTTGATTTTAGTTACCGTTTTGTTGATTTTAGTTACTGTTTTGTTCATTTTAGCTACTGTTTTGTTGATTTTAGTTATTGTTTTGTTGATTTTAGTTACCGTTTTGTTGATTTTAGTTACTGTTTTGTTCATTTTAGCTACTGTTTCGTTGATTTTAGTTATTGTTTTGTTGATTTTAGTTACCGTTTTGTTGATTTAAGTTACTGTTTTGTTCATTTTAGCTACTGTTTTGTTGATTTTAGTTATTGTTTTGCTAATTGTAGCTACTATCTACTGTTATATTTTACTACTGCTCTGCTCATTTTATGTTTTAGTAACTATTTTGTTTATTTTAGCTACTGTTTCGTTGATCTTAGTTACTGTTTTGTTGATTTTAGCTACTGTTTTGTTGATTTTAGTTATTGTTTTGTTGATTTGAGTTACTGTTTTGTTGATTTTAGCTACTGTTTTGTTGATTTTAGTTATTGTTTTGTTGATTTCAGCTACTGTTTTGTTGATTTCAGCTATTNTTTTGTTGATTTTAGTTATTGTTTTGTTGATTTCAGCTACTGTTTTTTTGTTTTCAGCCATTGTTTTGTTGATTTCAGCTACTGTTTTGTTGATTTTAGTTATTGTTCTGTTGATTTTAGTAACTGTTTTGTTGATTTTAACTACTGTTGATTTTAGTTATTGTTTTGTTGATTTTAGTTACTGTTTTGTTGATTTTAGTTACCGTTTTGTTGATTTTAGTTGCTGTTTTGTTGATTTTAGTTACTGTTTTGTTGATTTTAGTTACTGTTTTGTTGATTTTAGTTACTGTTT